TAGATATTTTCCTGCCATTGAAATGCTGTCCCAACTCCCCATACCAGAAAATTCACTCTGGCTGATGTAAAGGTCCAGCAAACCTGTCCACCTTCTAGCACATCCTGAATCAGAAGGTCATCTCACAGAAAAGGTTCACACCCAATCAGTGGAAAGAGGAATAATTTCATTTTTTGATGATACGTCAGCTAAGATTAGATGACAGAAAGCCCAAAATAACAGTTGCTTACATAAGACTGAACTTCCTTTCTCTCTCTCATAAACATGGTCTGGGCTTTTATGGAAGCTTCACAATCTTCAAGGACCCAAATTCCTTTTATCTTGTCATTCTACTTTCCTCAACCTGGCTCTCAATTCATTGTCCAAAATGGCTGCCCCAGCTCCATCCATCACGTCCACATTCCAGTCAGTTTAGGAAGGGATGAAGAAAGGCACATGCTCACTCCCTTTAAAGATAATCCCATGAAGTCAAATATACCACTTCTACTTAAGTTACTATTAGCCAGCATTCAGGAAGAATGGGAAATGTCTTGATTTCAAGTATCTACATGACTCACCAGAAGTAAGGAGTACTAGTACCTGGCAAGATGAGAGAATGGATATTGGCAAAGAACTGGCAGGACAGGACATCAGTAGAAAATCTCACACTCAAAGATGAGCACACTGAGACATCTGGATCTAAATTTGTAGACTTAATGGAGGCTTGAATTAAGGTATATTAACGAAAGACCATAAAAGAGAGACTTTAGATATAGTCAATGTTCTGTGCTCTCCGTAACAGAAACTTCTGTGTAAGTGTTAGATTTAGGTTCCTTGAAATCAGCAACATTAATAGTTTGAAACAAAAGAAGAGATTTAGTTCATGCACCATTTTTTTTCTTCTGCTCCTTTAAACCCTTTGTGTGGGATTTCCTGTTGAAATGAAACCCAAAGGGCAGCCATCCACAGCCTCCTAGTCTGAAAGACTAAAAAGGAATCAGTTGTTTATTTATTCCTGTCAGGACCAAGAGCCAAGAGAATTGGCCCAGGGGCAGATGTGTGTTCAAAACAATGACTGGGTTAATATGGAGACAAATGCACACCCAAGTATGAATTTCTTTGGGCTCTTTCCAGTATCTTCATTAACTCAAATACAAAAATCATGAAAGGTTCCATGATTACCATGACAACAGTTTTCAGTGACTATGAAAGTCTGTGCTAAATGACCCAAGGGCAGACCTCTTTGAGAGATCTCAAATGGCTTGAATTTCTGATATGCTGAATCCTAACCTTATTCTCAAAATCTCCCTAGTGATACAGCACATTTGAATCAATAAATGCATGAGGCCTTTTCCTTAATTAGAAACTCTGTCATGATAATTAAATCAGGGGAAAAGATAGGTTCAATGAAGGTAATAGGATATTCCCAGACCATGGTGATATCTGATTCTTCATCTCAGGAGCATTTCCAAATTGTAGTTTATAGCTTGAGGCCAAAGTAATTTTCATTTTTTCAGTTCAACGTTGTCAATCTGCCACTCAGGCAGAAAACTGACAACAGGAGAGGCACATCATTCATTCATCGGACAAGTATTTATTGGGTGCCAGCCAAGTACGAGGTACTGTTAGACACTCAGATACAACAGTGATTGAGACTCAGTCTTTGCCCTCACAGAGTTCAAAATCTAGAGAGGAAGAAAGACAAGTCACCAGGGAATTATGATGCCTCATGTAAGCACAAGGACTCAGAAGCTAAATATACTTCAAGAATATGGAGGGGAAAAAAGCTATATAACTGGGAGGGCTTCCTGAAGAAAGTGACACGCCTACAGTGCTTTCTGAAGGCTGAATAGGGACTGACCAGGCAAAAATGAGGAGAAAAGAGTGTTACCAGGAGAAAGAAAGAAGCACGCCCAAGACCTGAAGAGTACAAAGAGCTGAGGAGTAGTTCAGTATGACTGAGATACAGAGTTGGACGCAAACATGTTGAGATAAGAGATGGAGAGGTAAGCAGGTATTAGATCGTGAAGAGCTTTGTTACTGTGTCCAGGACTCTGAACTCCATCGTGAGGACAGTGGGGAGTATCTCAGTGCAGGTTATCTAGGGGCAGTTAGCAGAAATCCAAGGCCAATATGCTTGAGCAAAAAAGGGAGAGTTTGGCAGGGCATGAGGTAGCTCGCAGAACCCAAGGCAGGAAGGGTAGCTGGAACTCACTGGGACTGTACCCCACATAGAAAGACGTCCAGAATTGGTGCCTCTGCTTCTCTCTGGGTGTCTGCCACACTGTTCCCCTTCTCTCACCCTGTGTAGACTGTATCTCTCAGTCCTGATCCCAAATTCCTGGGAGACAGATTCTAATTGCATCAGCCTAGGCTGGGAGGGTTGTTGGCAGAGAAGAGTGGTTAGGGTTGTGTTAAGGAAATAAAACAATGCTGCCAACAAAAACCCCTTTTTACCAACATATGAAGAGGGAAGAGAGAGCACACAATATATTAGTGAGTAAGCATGATGGCTAGACCTGCATGTACTGGTAGGATGGAAGTATCTACCAAGTCTGGAGAGAATTTCAGACTAACGTATCCAGTGAAGTGGAAGATAGAACATTACAACGTCTCCTAGCTCCTGGAGAGAGAAACACACACACCTCTTGAGTGTCTCTTGTACACCTGGAGACCCCCTGAGCTCCTTCTGGAGGTAAGCATTTATGGATCCAAGGTTCTGGAGACCTTGCAGTCTCCAGGTGATGTTGATGCCTGGTAAAATTTGAGAACTGGTGGACCAGAAATACCCAAGATCATCAGGGCTGCTTACAGATGTGAAGGTGAAATCATGGGTTCTCTTCAGTGCCCTCTGCCTCTTTTCTAGCCAGCCTTCAGTTTTCACCAGTGATTATTCAGGACTAAAAATCTTCACCACCCAGGGGTCTGAAGGTAAAATAAGAAGGAGGAGGTCATTTGAGAGTTTTGGTCGGTGGACAGTTTACTGACACCTGCCACACATGGAGCACTACTTTCAGTTCTTGAGGATCTAGTGCCCGAGACATGGTGCCATGAGTTGGCAGAGCCAGATTTGAAACTCAGGTATGCGCAAGGCTCAACCCCAGATGCCTTCCTAATGACTCTTCCCAAGCTAGGCAGGATTTAGGAATGAAGTTGCCTGCAGGCAGATGAGGTGTTAAGATGCTCAAGGGCTGTCTGAAGACATGAAGTAGAAGAGATGCAGGGAAAGTGAGAAAAGGAGTAAACAGCATGAGCATCTTCCTTTGGCTTGGCCTGAGACCACCTGCCACACCAGGGCATCTACACGTAGGGTTATTGTTACTTCAGGTAATTGTCACTTTCTCTCTTCCCTACTTCCTTTTCCTTTTTCGTTTCTCTTCTTTCTCATCTCCTTTTCCTTCTTCTCTTTTTTTTTTTTTTTCGGTCTACCTGTGGCCCCCAGGGGCCCTTCAAGGTATTGCTCATCTCCACTGGAGGCTCTTTGGATCCAGAAGGTCATACATGTTGAAAATAATCCAGCATGGGGGTTTTACAAAAGGGAAAGCAAAGATGAAAAAAAGAAATGAGACTAGTTCTTCCAGCTCTCCTCCTCCCACCCATGTACAACTTTCATTCCAAACTGGTATTTTGCTCTCACATACACAGTTGTATTGGGTATAATTTTATTCTGGCCCTTGGCTAATCACATCCTCTTAATTTCTACATCAAATCAACTCTGACTCCAAACCGCCAATTGCCGAGGGCTGAGAAATTAAAATTCCATCATTACAGGGGCTTCTTCCCTCCCTGCTCCAGTCCGTAGGAGCCTTGTGTAATCTACAACATTCAGGGACAGCCCTCCCCCGCTCAGTGTCCAAGCCTGTGTTATTCCTGGAAGCTGAGCAGCTCCACTGTTTCCTGACTGGTGGGATCTCAGCAACTGTGGGGAAGCTTCATGCCTAAGGGTCCACCCCGAGGGCCCCACACCCAGAACTGCTCCAAAGTGATGCCCATCCAAGGCAGCTGCTACGGAACAGGGCACGGCCCTTCCTGGGACCTACCTGCCCACTCCCGCCTTCCCAGTCTGGGAAGATCATTTTCTCTCCATTACTCTTTGGGCTGAGTGAGCCCAATCCCCTCAAACAAGGAGGATTCAGAGAGACCAATTCCTAAAGCCTTGAGGGAGAGTCACCAGGCAACACTGCTCTCTCTCTTGCAACCTTGAGATAGGAGAACACAAAAGTCTGACTGCCTTCTTACAATAGTAAGGGGTAAAAATACAATGAGAAGCAGCAGAAGTTAATATCTTAGCAAATTAATCTGCTATATAGGGCAGGATGAAGTTTACTGTACTGTACAAAATGAGAGTTTTACCAAGTGTATTTGCAGAGGTGACTTTTTCAAGGCTCTCATTTTCTTGCTGTGTTTTGGAGCCATAGATCCAACCTAATCCACAGGCACCTCACTGGTATTTTTAGTCAGCATAAAACTACTCAGTTTCTAACAAATGACTGAAATGGGATTGCATTTTACTTAATCGTTGAAGGACACAAATAATTGAAAGGTTTAGGTATGTTCATAAACTCTTCCCCTAAGGCAGTCAAGATACCTTATGAATTTTATGGATTAACTTCATTTATGTGTAGATTCCACACTCCAAAAAGAACTGCTCTTCAAAAAAGAATAAAGCTGGAGGGAAAAACCCTCCCAGACTTCAGACAATGCTATGGAGCTACAGTAATCAAAACAGCATGGTACTGGTATAAAAACAGACATGTGGGTCAATGGAACCGAATAGAGAGCCCAGAAACCCACAGACCTACAGTCAACTAATCTTCAACAAAGGAGGCAAGAGTATACAATGAAGAAAAGACAGTCTCTTTGTCAAGTCAAGTGGTGTTGGGAAAGCTGGATAGCAGCATGTAAATCAATGAAGTTAGAACACTCCCTCACACCATACACAAAAATAAACTCAAAATGGCTAAAGACTTAAATATAAAACAAGACA